TTCATTACACAATAGATCCAAACTGACAGTAGGGCAGGTCTAGGGATACGTCGCAATTAGATGTCCGTGTGATAATCCATCACCACAGACAGACATGGATTTATCAATACATCTGATACTTGCACCAAGATCAGTCACACAAAGGATCAATGAGTCGTGACGAGACCAATATATTTAACTAAACGACCTCTTTGCTGCTATAGGATAGAAAAGGGGTATGCATTTTGGTTGTTTGCTATTAAAGGGGATGCATCCACCCTGACATATGGCAATATTGAAACATAAATGGTGTCTGTTTTTGGCAAAATACAGTTGGTAATTTATGTCGGAATAATAAATGTACAAATTATTTACATGTCAGATTTTAAACGGATTAAGGCTAGTAACCTTCATGTATTATATATGCAGCGTAGTGTACATAACGTGTGTGTTGTTCATGTTCGTGTGTGTGTTTCTCTGCAGGTAGTCAGCGTCATGTCATGTGATGCAACAAACATCCCTCCCCTCCCCCCACACACACACACACACACGCACACACACACTTTTAAGATCAATAACAGTGGACGAGGCTGTTGCCTTGGAGGCAGAGAAGCCACACAGGACTATTAGCGGCCTGTGTGTGTGTGTGTGTGTGTGTGTGTGTGTGTGTGTGTGTGTGTGTATGTGTGTGTGTGTGTGTCACATTACAGTGATCACACAGGGTTATCAAAATGGACCGCTGGCTGCAGCCGCCTTAAACTATTTAATGTCTAACCTGCAGCTGTGTGCGTGTGAGTGTGTGTTTAAAATGCATGAGTTTATAATGCTGCTATCACAGTGTGTGTGTCTGTGTGTGTGATATCCCATCCGTCTCCTTAGATGCAAGTCTTCTTCAATGGTGGTCAGTTTGTTTTCTATTTCAAAGCTGACACACACACACACACACACACACACACACACACACACACACACACACACACACACACACACACACACACACACACACACACACACACACACACACACACACACACACACACACACACACACACACACACACACACACACAGTACAGGAGCAGGTTTAAAGACCCACAGGGGAATCAGATAATCAATACTTATCTATCAGTGATTGATTATCAAACCTTCACACTGCCTAATAGGGTGTGTGTGTGTGTGTGTGTGTGTGTGTGTGTTAATAATAGGCGGTGACAGATAACCGTTCAGATCCATCAATACTCCCGTGTTTGCATCCCTGAGTTCATTTTCTCAATTTCAAAATAAAAGTAATCTTTCAGATAAAAACTAAATCTGTAATCGTTATATTTTTGAATGTTCAGCCCCTTGCGGTTTTCATGCCAATTGATGAGGTGTGATTGATTTCTACACCCCTTTGGTTTCGTGGCGCAGCGTGGTCTTGATTATGGGGTGGTGACATGCAGGGCTGGTTGCCGCGGTAACCGGGAGAATCGAGGGGCTTTTATTTTCTAATTTCTTCTTCTTCTCCTCCTGTTTTTCCCGCTCTCCTGTCTCTCTGCAGTCTCCATGTCTGCTGTAGAGGAGATCAGACGTGCTGAGAAAAGACAACTGAGAACTGATTTTGATTTCACTAATGTTTTGGTGCACTAAGGTTTCATTTAGTAGTGTTTCGTCAAGAAAAAGAGGTGCTTGAAAATATAAATAAAGAGGGAAATTATGAGGTTTTTACATAATTTCTGCAGCACTTTCAGTTTTGCAAACTGTGTTTTTCTTTCCCTCTAATTTCCTCAACTCCTATAATAAGTCTATAATTAACTGTGTAGTCAAAATAGACATTTCCTCATTAAATGTTTGATCATACGGCTATACCAGGATGAAATAATGCATGTGAAGCCTCATCTGGAGCCCTGTCTTCAAAAACATTATCAAAACTTTTAACCGTTTTCCACCAAATACAGTCCATTTCTTTGATGAAGCAAAACAACTATGAGACTGGAGCCTTTCACATGAACAGTTATAGATGAGTGCTGCTTTAAAAGTAGATAAACATCAGGACACTCACAATGTCCTCAACATTAGCAACTAACAACTATCATTTTGTGTCATCTGTAAAACCGGCTCTAAAATGCTTCTCTTGTGGCAAAAATGATATGAAATGGACACTACAAGTTAGTGTTAAGCTGACATTTAGGAAAGGTGACCAACAGGTAATCTCCAGACTCAACGGATAAGGAAAAATATGAAAGTAGATGAAAATGTAGGTAAATTCATACTTTTTAAGTGCGGCAATTTTACTTTTCTAGTATGAGGACAGTTAAAGTTAGACGCCTGTCTCTGTGTCGTTGTTCTAAAACGACGTGAAATTGATTATTTTTAAACCCAAAAGAGACAGGTGTCATCAGCGAACACTCAGGACGTGACATTATGATTACAGGCTGCTGAGTGGGGGGTTATGGGGTCTCCATGGTTACACCGTGGTTAACACGATGATGCTTTCTGTCGCCGGCGGGGCAAAAAACGGCTGGTGGTCACAGCGTCGGCCCGAGGTGTGAGTGTGTGTGTGTGTGTGTGTGTGTGTGTGTGTGTGTGTGTGTGTGTGTGTGTGTGTGTGTGTGTGTGTGTGTGCAGACATTTAAAAAAGGGCACATCATTTGGCCAGGAGCTGCTCATCGCACATCTGGTATTTCACCTGTGTGTATGAGTGTGTCTGTGTGCGTGTGTGTGTGTGTGTGTTTGTATGTGTGTGTGTGTGTGTGTGTGTGTGTGTGTGTTGCAGGTAACTGTGGTTATTTTTGATCAAACATGCATAATTTTTCTACTTTCTCCTCTGACAGTTTTTATATAAAGCAGAGTACAAATTCAACAGCCTCTGCTCATGCCAACCGTTTAAAAAAAAAAAAAATCATGATGAAATTCTGGTGCAATTTCCCTTTTTAAAATAGATTTCCCAGATAGAAAGGCGTCTCTTTCCCGTTATTTCCTCCCCCTTTTTATTTCCACCCATTCACACATCATCATCACCCCTCCTCCTCCTCCTCACAATAAATATTTGTATTCATCAGGTTAAAGTGTACGTATTAAGGAAGAGCTGAACGAGAAGCCAGGGTAAACGTAGGCAACTCAAAGAGAAGCAAAGACAGTCTTAAGAAACCAGAATAGTCGTCATTACTATTATTAAAGTCTCTTATTGTTATTATTATTATTATTACTAGTATAACTGTTATTAGGATAAAAGAAAGTTCCTTGGCCCTTGTTGAAGCAGAGAGAGAGGGTGCAGGCTATCCACAGCAACGCTCGATCATTCCCAGGGATTTCGGATAAATCCATCAAATTCCAGTTAAAGGGGTTTTATTCCATTTGTCCCGTTCCATTTTGGTGATTTTAAGTTGCATTTTCATCCCTTTCCATCCGGAGGTAAAGTGGGTTCCAGTGGATGGTTTAATCCCGTTGCAGATTTGGAGTTTGGTTAAAGGGAAAGAGGAAATCAAGTGTTGAAAAACCAAACAGAAAAGTCACTTTGGCTACTTGTAAATCCGTGATAATCATGCGTGTTTGGAGGAAAGAGGAAAAAAGTTGAACCCTCGATTTAAATATCCTCCTTTCTTCTTCTGTTGTGGTTAGCGTGGGAAATGGCCGAGGTTGATAAAGACAAGTTTGGCGTCATATAGTGAATAAAAAGGAGATGAGAAAATGTATTTCTATTTCTGTGATGGTATCTTATATATGATGTTATATATTATTTAAAAAATACAATGTTGATATCATTGTAAGAATACACATTAAATAATCCATCGCCAATAAATCGCTCTGTTTTTCTGAAGCACAAAGCAAAAATTAATTCGCGAAACGGATAAAACGCACATTTAAATCAAGTCAAATATGAAATTGACTGATAGCATTATTTTTTGTTTTTAGATACCGTGATAATATAGTTATTGCACATCTTTGTAGCCACAATAATTATGTAGTAAAAATGCTATATTGTCAGCCTTACTCCAGGTAAAGGGTAGAAAATGAGAAAAGGCTAAGGAAACGAGACTGAATGCAACATCGAAGCTAAATTAAATGTATACTTAATGTTTTTACAGTAAATGGATGTCATGAATCTCTTTTGAAATACCTCACTAGCAAGTTAGATAGCCGACGAGCGGTTTACTTTGGTAACTCCTGAACTCTCTAGCTAGTTAGCTCACTAAGTAGCGGTTAGCTTGTTATCTCTCTCGCTATGGCACCTGCTAGCTAAAGCTGCATTCACATGATAGTGAAACGTCTCTACGATGCCGTTGTGTTTTTATCTAGAGAGCAGAAGTGCTACCCTCTGCGTCTTGCACCGCTCAAATAGAAAAAATAAAGTTAAAATAGTTTCAACCTTGCTTTTGTTTACTGCTGATTTTGTAACGTCACAGACAGCTGTAGCGGTGCAAGCTAGCACCCAAACTCAAATCGTGCACCGTGTGAATGCAGCTTTATTGCGGTTAGCCGCTATCTCTCTGAGTATAGCGCCTGCTAGCTTGTTACCTCTCTATAATGTTCTTTTTATAATGAACATTGTGGATAATGATGTGTCAAACTGTCTTTATGAACATCCACCATTTGCCTTTCCCCCTCAAAAAACCCACCACCATCGAAAGAAACATCCCTTTGTTATTTTCCTCGGAATCGTTGCATTCTAGAATCCTCAGCGCGCGCGGAGGGGTTCCGGAACCCGTTTAATCACGCCTCAGTTCTAGAACATTCCGTAGAGTTCTAGAACCTTCCGTAGAGTGAGTTCTAGAACATTCCGTAGAGTTCTAGAACCTTCTGTAGAGTGAATGCCATCTTTCCTCGCCAAAACAATTATCAAAACGTCCTTTGATCTCTGGAATCGTTGCATTCTAGAATCCTCAGCGCGCGCAGAAGGGTTCCGGAACCCGGCATCCCTTCGAGTTCTAGAACATTCCGCCGCCTCCTCTCTCTCTGTCTCTCTCCGTCCCTCCGAACGCCATTTTTAAAAACAAAACAAAAACAAAACAAAAGGAAAAACAACAGTTTTGTCCGTCCCTTCTATAGCTGCGTGGTGACAGATTCCTCTATGACATCACAGCTGTCCCCGATGACATCATCACCGCACGGTCCAACCCACCCGCCCATCACCATCATCACCCCGACCCCCCCCCCTCCTCCTCCTCCTCCTCCTCCTTCCTCCACACCTCCACCTGCTCCTCCTTCGCCCTGGAAAACGTCCTCGCTGGAGTCCAGGAGGCGGGAGCTGGATTCTGACATGTTGGAAGCGCAGTGCAGTGATTGGCAGGGGCACGGAGGGGGGAGGGGCAAGAGGAGGGAGTCCCGCCCCCCGTTCGTCCTCCGCGGGGAGAACGCCGGGTCGCCGATGATGAGGTCGCCCGACCGTCGACGGCGTCCCACTTCGTGCAGACGCGACTCGCTCCTCGACACGTCGTCCAGGTCGAAGTCGTGGCTCCGCAGGGGGCGCAGGAACCCGTCTGAGATGGTGTAGGACGACGAGGAGGACTGCAACGGCGTGGGCGGGGCTCGGCGTTTTGAGCGGGAAAACAGGAAGGAGAGGCGTTTGAAGGAGTCCGTTTTCGACCCGGGAGCCAGGCGCTGCAGGCGACTCCTCGTGCGGGCGAACGACGAGGAGAAAGTCGAGGAGAAAGACGAAGGGGAGGAGGAGGAATGAGGGACGACGGCCGTTTTCAGCCCGTTGCTCTTTGGTTTCCCCTCCTCTTCCTCCTCCTCTTCTTCCTCCTCTTCCTCCTCGCCATCGCCCACTCCTTCTATCCTCGTCATGCCCGAGATCGAGCGCACCAACTCGGACACGCCGAGCGTTGGCGACTGCCTCTTCTCGTCCTCCTCGTCCTCCATCGGCGTCATGAAGGTCACGCCCTTTGACCTCTGGCTCGAGCAGCCGTCGCCTGATTCGCTGTCGTCTTCTGACGCCGCGGCGCCGTCGTCTCTCGTCGTCTCGCTGGACGAGGAGTAGTGTCGCCGGGGAGGACGACGGTTGCCGAGGAGATCCAGGACTTCGTATCGGAAACTGGAGATGTCCTGCTTCAACTCCTGGAGAGAGAGAGAGAGAGAGAGAGAGAGAGAGAGAGAGAGAGAGAGAGAGAGAGAGAGAGAGAGAGAGAGAGAGAGAGAGAGAGAGACGAGAGAGAGAGAGAGAGAGAGAGAGAGAGAGAGAATAATAAGTATTCTTAAACATTCAGGAGAAAAAACTGAAAGGAAATAACAGAGAGGAAGAAGAGGGTGAAGAGGGTGAGGAGGGAGGGGAGGTGAGACATCAATGATAAGAGGCAGAAGGTGAAGAGGAGGTAAGGACTCAAGAGGAGGTGCTGAGGAGAGGAAGGTAAAGGTCAAGGAGACGAGGAGGAGGGAGGACAAGTGGAGGAAGTAGAGACTGAAGAGAGAGGGGGAAATACTCCACCATCAAATAAAGGCCTATTTATTTGATGGAGAGATTTAACCTAATGATTTAAAGAACACATTGTACGTGATAGGCTAAGGGGCGGGACATCTCTAAGCGGTTGACCAATCACAACAGAGCCGGCCAGCTAACCAATCAGAGCAGACTGGGCTCTGGTTCAGACAGAGGGTGAAAAGAGGTGCTGCAGCACAGACAGTATGAGAACAATAAAGAGCTTTTGAACATAAAGCATGAGAAAGTTAGAGATCACTACATACTGCTGATACACCTGACATCAGCAGGAGAGGACTCTTTAAAGTAGAGACACTACATACTGATATACACCTGAACATCAGCAGGAGAGGACTCTTTAAAGTAGAGACACTACATACTGATATACCACCTGAACATCAGAAGGAGAGGACTCTTTAAAGTAGAGACACTACATACTGATATACACCTGAACATCAGCAGGAGAGGACTCTTTACTCTTAAAGTAGAGACAACTACTAGCACTGAACATCAGCAGGAGAGTACTCTTTAAAGTAGAGACACTACATACTGATATACACCTGAACATCAGCAGAAGAGGACTCTTTAAAGTAGAGACACTACATACTGATATACACCTGAACATCAGCAGGAGAGGACTCTTAAAGTAGAGACACTACATAACTGATATACACCGGAACATCAGCAGGAAGAGGACTCTTTAAAGTAGAGACACTACATACTGATATACACCTGAACATCAGCAGGAGAGGACTCTTTAAAGTAGAGACACTACATACTGATATACACCTGAACATCAGCAGGAGAGGACTCTTTAAAGTAGAGACACTACACTACTGATATACACCTGACATCAGCAGGAGAGGACTCTTTAAAGTAGAGACACCACATACTGATATACACCTGAACATCAGCAGGAGAGGACTCTTTAAAGTAGAGACACCTACATACTGATATACACCTGAACATCAGCAGGAGAGGACTCTTTAAAGTAGAGACACTACATACTGATATACACCTGAACATCAGCAGGAGAGGCAGGAGAGGACTCTTTAAAGTAGAGACACTACATACTGATATACACCTGAACATCAGCAGGAGAGGACTCTTTAAAGTAGAGACACTACATACTGATATACACCTGAACACCAGCAGGAGAGGACTCTTTAAAGTAGAGACACTACATACTGATATACACCTGAACATCAGCAGGAGAGGACTCTTTAAAGTAGAGACACTACATACTGATATACACCTGAACATCAGCAGGAGAGGACTCTTTAAAGTAGAGACACCACATACTGATATACACCTGAACATCAGCAGGAGAGGACTCTTTAAAGTAGAGACACTAGTCCCGAGCTACAAACCAAACACCATGCACCAGTAAACTTTGATGTTTTTAATTTTTAAAGATATGATCACAACTACTTCATATCTTCTTTACTCGCCATCTGGGATCCAAATGCTGCACATGTATTCCTCAGAGAATTAAAAAAACATGATTTAATTCAACATGCAGCTGATGTTAGACGCACATTTTGAACACATGAACAATCTGTGCACTTTTAAGACTACCACACACACACACACACACACACACACACACACACACACACACACACACACACACACACACACACACACACACACACACACACACACACACACACACACACACACACACACACACACACACACACACACACACACACACACACACACACACACACACACACACACACACACACACACACACACACCACACACACACACACACACACACACACACACACACACACACACACACACACACACACACACACACACACAGGGTCGGAGTGTGTGTGTGTGTGATTCAGCCCGATGTGCACCTGATGTTGTTTTTGTGTTTTTTTTAAAGCCCAGAGGAATTTTCCACTTCAAAGCCCAGGCCGCGCTCCAGATGCATCATGGGAAACAGACTCTGGAGCGAAAACAGTTGGGAATAATTCACGGTTCTGCGAGGATTTTTTGGTATTCGGAGGAGCTGTGGATTTTGGGCAGGAGGTGAAATAATTGTTTTAATATCTTAATGTGCAGCTCTGCCTTTTGGTGTGAATAAACAGCTGCTAAACACGATGCTAACCCTTCATCTGCAAATTAAAAGTGGATATTTGTTGCTGTTAAAATCATAGTCTGAGGTGAAATGAAGAGGATAAAGAAATTATAAATATTATGTAAATACATTTAAATGCCGGATCAGATATAGATAAGGCTGAGCGATATGAAATACATAATATATCTTAATATTTTTCCAATCCAATTCAATATTATATAATTTTGTAAACAGTTTATATGCAGTGTGCACCCTTTGTTTCCGTTTTCTTTTCTTATCCACTTATTTGGATCCCTTGTTAGCGTCTCCCTGACAACAGTGGCACCTTAAATGTTTCTACCAACAGTCCCTCATCTAATACATTTAAAGGGACCCTAACATGCTTGTTGGACGCCTTTGTTTTCTTCCAGAACAAAGTGACATCAAAGTGACATCAATGTGTAACACGCGCCCGTCTATTGGCTAGCGCTCCAACACATTGTACGTGATAGACTAAGGGGCGGGACATCTCTAAGCTGTTGACCAATCACAACAGAGTCGGCCAGCTAACCAATCAGAGCGGACTGGGCTCTGGTTTCAGACAGAGGGTGAAAAGAGGTGCTGCAGAACAGGCAGTATGAGAAAAACAAAGAGCTTTCAGAACATTAAAGCATGGAGACATGTCACATTAAGCAAATTGGATTAAATTGCTTTTTTTGATTGTTGTTACAAAAAGCGTAAAACTAATAACTATTAGCTAAAAATACTCCACCTTAAAGTTTTCCTCCGTCAGTCCCTCGTCCGTCTTGGCGCTGCGTATCATGGCCGCCACGTACCTCTTCACCAGGCTGCGGATCACTTCCTGTTGGAGACAATTGTCATGGTTACTTCACTGTCTTTGAACTTCATTATTTAATTCATATATATTTATAAATATATATAAAATGGTAATGTTTAAAACTCTTATCCTACGTGTTAAACTTGCTCATTTTGCCACAAAATACAGAATATTAAAACCCAATCGATGAAATAAAATGTTATTTATCTCATTAAGTAATCAGCCAAAGAGACAGAAGACCCCGATTGATTTAAAGAGCAAAGAGAGATGTATCCAGCATTTGGTGCTCAGTGGGCGGTAACACACACACACACACACACACACACACACACACACACACACACACACACACACACACACACACACACACACACACACACACACACACACACACACACACACACACACACACACACACACACACACACACACACACACACACACACACACACACACACACACACACACACACACACACACACACACACACACACACACACAGCATCCTCCCACAGTAACACCTGTCACTCTCCTCCTCTGCCAGGAACACACCACACACTCAAAGTTAAAGTGAAGGGCACGTTCCTGCAGCAATCCTTCAGAACATGGACGGGAATCAAAGCAGCGTTCGGCACTGCCAAACACAAAGTACTGGCGCTGCACACACACACACACACACACACACACACTGCTGCACACACACACACTGCTGCACACACACACACACACACACTGCTGCACACACACTGCCAACGTGAGGTGTCAGAACACAAGATATCCATTTATTCGCAACAAAAATCCCCCAAAAGCTAATCAGAATAACATCACGGCTGCCAAGAACAATCAAGTGTCTTACTTAAGAATTTTAAAAACACTGCTCACTTTCAATTTTATCTGAAGACACGGAACATTTCTAAATCTCAGCTGCGAGAAGTTTAACCACAGTAAAGAAATACAAATATAGTCCCAAAGAAAATATGTAAAAATCGCATTCTGATGTTTTTAACAGTCCCTTTTTCCCCCTTATAAAACCCCTTTTTAACACTTTTTTTCATCTATACAAATACAAGTCAGGCTTATTGTGTTTATTGGCGACCTTTGTTTGTGCTAAAACTAAGGAGTGTGTTTTCTTTAGATAAGCTACGCTAGCAGTTCCCACCTGTTTCCATTCATTATGCTAAGCTAAGTTAAGAGTCTCCTGTTTATAGCTACATATAACCCTTCAAAATAAGAGAGGCATCCATTTCTAATTCAACTCTGAGAGCTTATATCAAATAATAACAACTCTTTTCTTTCTTTAGGCTATAGAGTGCCACAGTGACGCGTCCTAAAACCAGGAAGTAAGTTAGCATTTTACCACTTCCGGTTCCTTCGACAAAAACCAATGCAATTTCTCCATAGGGTTTTGGAAAATAGATCGAAATAAGGTCTGTGGTTGAGTCACATTGAAGAGGCAGATCACGTTTTGTTCAGCCGGGTAATCTCCACATGTCTACCCTACTTTTATCATTTTTGAATCATAAATCTAATCGATAGATTCGAGCTATTTTTCAAAATCCTATGGAGAAATTGCATTGGTTTTTGTCGAAGGAACCGGAAAGAGTTTACTTTCGGGTTTTAGGACGCGTCACTGTGGCACTCTGTACCTCTTCAAGTTGGATAAGGTAAAAAATAACTACATTTCTTGTTTTTGTTATTGATTTTATTTTGAAATGGAGGAAATAAATATAGGAATGCTGACACAGAAGTATTGATCAATTGAAAAGATAACTGTCATCAAGGTTAAGGGCACCCTGCAACACACACACACACACACACACACACACACACACACACACACACACACACACACACACACACACACACACACACACACACACACACACCTGGTAATGCTGGTTCTGAATCAGACTGTCAGCGTGGCGTTCCTGCAACACAGAAACAGATCATCATGTTAGACACATTTCTCCAATCACACACTTTCAACACCAAATGCCGGTGTCGGACACACACATACACCGAACACACACACACAGAGAGCGGAGCTGAGCAGAGCACAAACACACACACATCATGTAGCATTTCCCTCCGAATAATGGTCGAAGACTTGACTGATGATGTGAATTTATTGAAATCTCCAATATCAACGTAAGAGCCCCCTCTTTGGGGGGTGCTAACAGTTAACCATAAAAGTTATCCTTTACTTTCTCCGTCTTTATATGTAGATATTACTTTTCTCCGTTAATCTCCGCTCCTTTTCTCCGTCACGTTGTTTCCATAGCAACAACAACTTCCTGTCAACAGCATAAACTCGCCTTCAAAATAAAAGCATCTAAATAAAACAGGAAGTTAACCTAAATTACATTTAAGACATAGGCTATATACAACTGCAACGAAAGTAACAAAAACAATGTAATATCCCTTTCAGTTTCACAGAACACAAATTGGGTTATTTACATATCATGCGCGCTGGTGATCGGACATCTCCTTCATAAAACAAGTAATAGGGGGAATAATCGGGCAGTTCGATGTGTGTAGAGGTGTGTGTGTGTGTGTGTGTGTGTGTGTGTGTGTGTGTGTGTGTGTGTGTGTGTGTGGTTCAAACGTAGTAGCCTCGATCTCTATTCAGCTGTTCTAATGAAGGTAAACACAGTGAAGGCGGCGCGTAAAAGACACAGCTCTCTGCGCGCAGATAGCAGACTGTGAGAGTGAATTCATAGATCAAGGCAGACTGGTTCACAGACTCTCCTGTTTTGTCGATCCGGTGCTTAAACAAATAGCTCTACACCTCTGGCCGACATGTCCCTAAAATGAAGTCCGAGTTTGAAATATATCTCAAATAATGTATGCACTGCCATTTCCCCACAGACACACAACCGTCTGCAATGAAACGGTGGTCTCCTGTGCGCTCCACTTCCTACTTGGCGCACCGGTAACTTTCTCGAGAAAGTATATATCGTGCGAACGAAAAAGTATATCGTGCGCACAGGATACTTTTTCTTTTTCCGTGACCCTTTAGGGGCTCCGTACTTTCATTATAAAATCCACATGTATCTTTTGTAATATAGCAACATCCTCTTTTGAAGAATAATGATCAGAAACTAGAACAAAGTGTAAATTGCCTCCGGCTCGCAGAATGACTTTAACTTCTTTCATTTTGGAGAGCTGCTGATTGATGAAGGCTGTTCATCATTTTTTGCTCCAATAAAGAAATGGGTGTGGGACTTTTATTTTGGAGAGACCCCCTGCAGTGACAGAGATGAGAGGATCTCCTCTTTAAAGCCTCTTCTCACCTCATTCACTTTTAGAGGCAATTACAACAAGTACTGAGAGCATTCAGATGACTTCAGAGAGAGAAAGCACGCTCTGAAACTGATGCTGCAGAGACAACGTTATTTATGTTTGGAGTTAAAATAAGAGGAACAGACAGCGTGATAAATGTGCATTTAAATGAAGAATTATTCAAGCAAAAAGTCACTTTTAAAATGTAATAAAACATCATTTGATATGTCTTTACAGTCTTTCTTTGTAAGGATGTTCTGCAGAGTAAACAGGGTTTGCACGCAGCTCTTTGTAACTTAAAGCCAAACAAATGAAGACAGAAAACAGTCAAAATTAGAGAAACAGACAATATGATAAATGTGCATTCAAGAATGAACTATTATCTTCTGAAACACATGTGATTTAAGCATTTATTTATGGGTTGCAGGCTCAAATAGCTGCTTTTCCTCTAGGATGTTCCTCCGGTTGTTCAGGGTTTTCTCCTAAATGACATGCACGCACATTTGCATTTGCAGGACAGCCGATTGGACACTTTTGCACTTCTTTTTGAAGTTGTTTTAATGCATATTTCATTAAAGGACATACTGTATGCAAATCATATAGTTTAAAGGGGACCTATCATGCAAAATGCACTTGTGTACGTCTTTTCTACATGAATATGTGTCCCCGGTGTTCCAGGGAACTCACCAAGTGTCAGAAAACACAACCCTCTCTATTTTCCTCCATACCCAAATCTCTAAAAAAGGGGCTGCAACGGATCTGATAAAAACTGATCCAGATTTGAACACTGTCCTGACGTCAGGACGGTGGCGCTACGGCTATTGGGCCAACTCCACCAATCAGGAGGAGACAGCCACGGCCATTGCCGTTCGAAAGCGCTGGAGACGCTGTAGTACATATGCCAGGCCTGTAGGTGGTGCTGTTCTCACAGAATCAGCCCTTGCTAAAACAGGGGTAAAAAAGTCCAAATTGAGCAAAATGAGGCATGGCTAAAATGCATGATCTGTTTGGTATTTAAAAAAAAAAAGTATAAATATGCCTTATATAGGTATGGTCCTACACTATGTTATTCAAATATAGCATGATAGGTCCACTTTAAGGCAATATTTTACCTTCCACTTTTATTATTCCTCAACAAAACAGCCTAGTTGGTTTCATTAGAAAAGTATGAGATGCAGAAGGCTTTAAAGATTAATTATATTAAATCAAGTTTTTTTAATTTATATTAAGTCTTCCCATCTTTTTCGTCTATCTTCAAGAATGGTTTAATCCATAACAGTCAATAAAAGTCACTGGAAAACAAAATATAAATCATCAAACGTAAACAAGAGGAGGTGCAGGGGTCCATCGATGTGTCCGATCAATTCAATGATAATATGCAGAAAGATACAAATAGATGTTTTTAACAAATACACAAAAAGTACCTAACTCTGCTTAAATGAAGGATCTGCTAAAAACCTGCATTCATCCTCTCCACATCTCACACACACACACACACACACACACACACACACACACACACACACACACACACACACACACACACACACACACACACACACACACACACACACACACACACACACACACACACACACACACACACACACACACACACACACACACACACACACACACACACACACACACACTCCCTTGATCAGATCTCTGTGTGAACTCGTGTGGGCTGGCTTATATAACTCAGCCGACTCCAGCTAAGGTGAACATGCCAGCTGCACTCAGCGTGTGTGTGTGTGTGTGTGTGTGTGTGTGTGTGTGTGTGTGTGTGTGTGTGTCTCCAGATGACTGACTGTTGGATGTGTTTATCTGCTCGCAGACGCACAGCTGATGTCTGACTGTGTTTCTCTTAAAATATATATATGTATCACTTCTCTCCTCACTCTGAATGTTCTACTTCTATTCCACTTCTTTTCTTTTCAAACTTGAGTTACTTTTCAAACTTTGATTCAGTACGCAACACTCGCATTAGAAGTCCTCTTTAAAAGCGAGTCCCATTCGTTGTTTGTGATTAGTGTTTCTTAAATTGAGAAAGCGAAATACATTGCTTATACTACGGCACGTTGACTAAAAGATGTACGTGTTGGTACTCAACATTTTACTTTAAGAAATGTCATATTATTGTATTCCAAACCATTATTAATTGGTCATAAACTCTCTTAATAAGAGCTTTTTAGTATCAGCATGAGCCCAATTCATATGTCAAGTCAAAAGTTATATATTAAAATATAAAAGATATTAAAAATAGCAGAGTGTAATGCTGTTTTCTTATACTTACAGCTGAATAAAACTGAGGACTTAAAGTGGTGATATGTAAGGAAAGCTTGGGACATATTTTGCTCAGTATTTTAAATCTGTAATATTAACTGAGCTTCTCATGTTTTCTGTTGCACTTGATCATCAGACGGAGAGATTTCAAGCACATTTTCCCTGCAGAGACGTCACGTTTGTGAACTCGTTCCTCTCTGAACTCTCAGCCTCGTGCACAGAGTCCTCGGCGACTTGTTAACATGAGTTTTAGCATATGGGTTGTTGTTGTTGTTGTTTTTTGGGAGGATCGCAGCTTGTTTGCGTGACGCTTCAGTGACGGCAGATGGCAGAGTATTAGTCTGCACATGAATAAATAAATGTTTCTCCTTCAGGTTAGCGACTCGGGGAGTTTGACTCTGAAGTGGAGCGAGAGTCCAGAGCTGCAGCCGGTCGCAACGAATCCAAATCTAATATTATAGTCATGAACGCATGATTAAAATATTGTTTCTCTGAGGAGCTTAACATGGATGACACAAAGAATAACGGCTAATATGTTAGCAAAGAAAGCTGCTGCATGTATAAATGTTACTGGGAATACTACTTTAAATAGGAGATATGCAGAGAGTGACTGGTGGCCTTGCAAAGCTTCCTCACACGTACAAATATTTATATAAACATATGAGTTTAAGATAGGAATGTGCAATACAAATGAAAAAAATATGTACAAATAAGAATACAAGTATTATATAAAGACATAAGAAGAAAATATTGTTTCTTCTCTTACTGTGAACTCCCGCAGGTTCTCACACTTGTGCGAGTGCTCGCCTGCGGGGCCGCCCCCCCTGCACAGCTTGTTGTGGAGCCACAGCAGCAGGAAGAGGATGGATTTGGGGGAGGGGATGATGTTGAAGGGGGGGGGCAGCGTGCCGCCCTCGTCAAAGTAACTCATCCACAGTTTGGTGCGAGCAAACTTCCACTCGATGTCGGCGTGATCCTGCAGGAGGAGAGAGAGAGAGAGGAGGAGGAGGGGTTTGTGAGGCCTTATTGATGTTGTTATGTTGGTTATTTAGTCATTAAAGCACTACAAGACCTTGAGGTGACTAGAAGATCAGATCAGAGACAGAATACTATTTATCCTGGAGAAAATGGGTTTCGTTGCTGTTTTTTAGAATTAAAGGGGACCTATCATGCAAAATGCACTTTGTGATGTCTTTTATACATCAACATGTGTCCCCGGTGTGTCGGGGAACTCACGCAGCGTCAGAAAATAAAACCCTCTCTCTTTTCCTCCGTACCCAAATCTCTAAAAACGGGGCAACAACGGAGCTGATCCAGATTTGCGTCCGATATGACGTAATATCTGAAATGTGGACCCACGGCCCTATCAGAAACGTTGCTATCAGAAACAATGCCCGACTGTTTTGGACGTAATATGGTCGGTGTTTACATTAGCATCGCTAACACTCCGAGCTAACCTGCTGGAGAGCATGTGTGTCTGATGAAGAAGACGAACTAAGCTAGGTAGCCAATATAAGGCTTAGTCATCTTGCCAAATAGTGAGCCCACATTTATCTGCACTGCTAAGTCTTATATTGGCAACTTAGCTTACTTCGTCTTCTTCATCAGCCAGCATCCTTGGTATCTGTTGTTCACTGAGTTGATTCCCCCCCCCATCCATCTTGATGTTTCTTGGCATCTCTTATGACCATTTATTTACGAGTTACTAACATTTATAGTTGCCAAAAGGGAGCCTTGTTGTAAAGTGTGAAACAAATCACCATTTATTAATGAGTTACTACTATTTCTAATAAGACTTAGCAGTACAGATAAATGTGGGCTCACTATTTGGCAAGATGACTAAGCCTTATATTGGCTACTTAGCGAGAATCAACTCAGTGAGCAACAGATACCAAGGATGCTGGCTGATGAAGGAGACGAAGTAAGCTAAGTAGCCAATATAAGGCTTAGCAGTACGGATAGATGTGGGCTCACTATTTGGCAAGCAACCGGTCACAGTCGCCCTGTTTATCTCATGTCTTATAAAAGCTTATTAATGATTCATAAAGTGTTCACAACCTAATTAATAAATGAATTACAAACTATTCGTAAATCCTTTATAAGGGTACTCTTATTCTAAAGTGGTACCAAAATATCCAATAAAGGTTAAGCAAAGTATTATAGAAAAGTAAGAATGTGCAATATAAAGATAAAATAAAATAAGTAAGTGAAGAATGTGCCATAAAAGAATAAGTAAAATATCCCCAAAAATTGTCTTTAACCTGCGCTTCAAGTCTATTTGAATCTAACAAGTTTAATTGAAATGATGTGAAACGGCAACACCTGCCACCTGCCAATGGTTATATAATCTTTCCACTCTCTTTGCATCGTTGTGACTCACGGCGATGAGCTGGTAGGAGTTGTTCATCATGGCGATCAGCATGTTGAGCAGAACCACCAGAGAAATCACGTTGTACGTCCCGAACATCGTCGCCCCGACAAACTCCGTGAACTCGTGCCTCGCCTTCACGTTGGTCACGTACAGATTCAGAAGCCCGAATATCGACCAGAACAACGACTGCAGCGTCTCGAACAACCTGAGGACACACAAGAAGGCTTTTATTTTTGAAGGATTCATCCAAGGAGAACTAAAAAAGAAACTAGAAAAGGTTCCTCCATGAAAATGTGACCGTGTGACTGCTGGCACTTGGTTTTTTTCAAGATGCTGATATCACCAGCGTTTTGTAGGTATTGATAGCAGTGGCTGTCTTGTTGCTTTTATTTTATTTTGAAGAAGTGGTAGAGAAAGTTTGAAAGTCTGCCCGGCAACAAGGTTACCATAGTGACATTTTAACATGGTCGTCTATGGGCGAGACAGCTGGAGTTTTTCTCACTCAAGGGCACTTTCGGGCAAGATTTCAACGTCCTTTTAATATTATGAAAGCATTGAGACAACGCTGACTGAATTTGCTGCTAAAATCAACAACAATTATGTGAAAAGACTGAATATTATGGGATTTAGAGCAGTTTTAATATCTTTTTTCAAGGAGATTTTAAAGGCCCTCTACACTCAAAGTGATGATGTCATCACTCTGAACATTCCGTCACATACACACACCATTATAAAATCTGAAAATGTCACAAAACTTAAACGGTGATTGTAGAAAAACCGTTCCATCTATCAAAAAACCCTTTTAGTCCAATAAAGTTGAGAGTCTGGAGAGCTGGTTAAACTTTTAATATTTACTTTCCGTTAAAGTTTGGCGAATCAGTATGACCTCAAAGTCGGATGATTTTGAGCTCTCTTCACGTCGATTTCCCATTCATTCCTATGGGGATTTGTGATTTGCGTGAAACGTCAGAAAGTTAAAGAACGCTCCGGCAAACTTTTAGCCGTTAAAATGAAGAACAAGATGAAGTATGCAGGATTATAATGTGTGTGTGTGTTGCTCCACCAGTCACACACACAATAAAACACCTTAAAATAAAGAGGCTGGCATTCATTATAAAGCAAAAAACACTAAAAGTGACACATAAAAATTACTTTCATTTACAAAGACCTGCAGATTTGATGAATAAACGGGTGTTTCTCTGCAGGGATTGTCAGATTAAGATCCTCAGAGTGTCTTCCAACACATTTAACTGATGGTAAACATTAAAAAAGCTGCAGACGATCATTTATTTATATGTGACTGTCATTATGTGTCTTTCCCTGTAAGATAGGAGTTCATCAAGTCTGTAAATCTGCAGCAGAACAAACTCTGAGGCTCATATTTTCTCATATTTAATGTCGGTAAATAAAAGCAAATGGAGCATCTTATGTTACAGATTGCTTACGACTTCCAAAATCGTTGAGAGCTGCTTGTAAATGTGTGTGAGGAAATAAATAAAAGTTGAGTCTAAAAGCCTTCAGTGGCAGGCAGGCTGATGTAAAAGATATGAGATGTGTCGTACCGCTGTAAAACTAAACAGTAAAATCCATTTATCGCTTGTTTTTTTACTCAAACTCCTCCTGACAGGAGCGGCAGGCAGCTGGGAGCGATAATAGATAAAAGATCAGTCGTGACGTTGATTCCAATATTCTAGTGCAACCAAAACTGAACCTTCCAATTTGGTGAGGCTTAACGAAAAAAAGATGACAAATGGTGACTTCTTCCCCTAGCATCCAATACATCTCACTTAAGCTGCAACTTCAAAATAAAAGCATTTTTGGTTGAAACTGTCCATTGTTCTGTCCATAAACTATAGGCATACTGAATTATCACAGCACAGTTGCCTATATTTAGGGGAAATAATAAAAAAATTATGTTTACAATTTACAAAAATAACTAACTAACTAAAGGACTAACTAAGTGACTAATTAACAGACTAACTAAGGGGATAAATAACTAATGAATTAACCAGCCATCCAACTAACTAACCAACCAACCAACCAAACCATGAAATCAAAAGAATGATCAACCAACTAAGCAAACAAACAACCAACCAACCAACCAAAGAAATCAAACAACCAACCAGCCAATCAACCAACCAGCTGACAAACCATTCAACCATTCAACCAACCAACCAACCAACCAACCAACCAACCAACCAACCAACCAGCCAATCAACCAACCAAAGAAATCAAACAACCAACCAGCCAATCAACCAACCAGCTGACAAACCATTCAACCAACCAACCAACCAACCAACCAACCAACCAACCAACCAACCAACCAACCAACCAACCAACCAACCAACCAACCAACCAACCAACCAATCAACCAACCAACCAACCAACAAACCAACTGTGTATTTGTTATTATATATGAGAAGACTATTTCCCTTTAACAGCTAATACACCTCAACTCTACCAGCTGTAAATCATTGATATGACCCTTCTTTCTCCCTCTTCCTCCCCTCTCTCCTTTCTTTACTCCCCTCCTCAGTCTCTATCTGTCTTGTGTTTGTGTGACAGTCACAGTTACAGCGCAGCTTATTGCATTTTTTTATGAAGAAACAATTGGCAGACACTACATCACAAGAAACACAGAGAGAGAGAGAGAGAGAGAGAGAGAGAGAGAGAGAGAGAGAGAGAGAGAGAGAGAGAGAGAGAAGAGAGAGAGAGAGAGAGAGAGAAGAGAAGAAGATGAGAGAGAAAGTCTGCAGGGTGTTTTTAATTTGTGCTGCTGAAATATCATATAGTGTGTGTTGTGTTGCAGTAATGAAATGTGGGTGTGATATCACTGTATCAAGCAGTAATACAGAGTGGTGGTGTGTGTGTGAGAGTGATGGTGTGTGTGAGAGTGATGGTGTGTGTTCCCTGTGTGTGTGCAGGTGAAATGAGTGTGTGTTGAATGAGAGAGACTATGAATGAAGCACTCGAGCGTGAGATTGTGTCGCAGTTACGAAACGAGATAAAAAAATGGAGGAATAAAGAAATCTCTCCACCCTCTCCTCTCATTCTTCTCTCAGTAACTCATTTTCCTCGTGTGTTTTAATCACATTTTTCCCTTCCTCTTATCCTTCTCTTCCTCTAATATCTAACTTCCTCCTCACCGCACAGTGTGAGAAAAGAAAAGTGTGTACAGACTTCATAAGCAATTAAATAGGTCCTGTAATGCTCATGAATGTTAGATTCTCAGAGTTCTTTCTTAAAATGTGGGGTTTTTTTACGCCATTTTTACGTTTTACTCGTATAAATACACAGATGTTTTTTGCTGCTTTCTGAAAACCTTTTGATGCTTCCACCCCTTCTGGCATTTTACATGTAATCAACGTTTATTGTTATGAATTAAACTGTTGTTGTTTTTGCTTTTATTGTCATTGAAAATCACCTTGAGACTTTAACACTAGAACCGCCAACGGGTACATTTTACCCGCAGCTGTTTTTTGATTGTATGTAACTTTTTTTCAATAAAATATTAAAGTCTCCCAGTCCGTGACTTTTCCTGAAAGTGTGTTATGTAGCACCCTCTGTTGTTAAAAATGGTCAATGTGAAGTCAGATTGAAAAGATCGCCAAAAAAGATTGCCATTTATACCTATATCCGCCAGCGGGTATTATTTACCTCATAGAAAATGCAGCGTAAACATGACGTGTTGCTATAGCAACGCCTTTTGTCTACTGCGGTTCCTTATAGATAGATAGATAGATAGATAGATAGATAGATAGATAGATAGATAGATAGATAGATAGATAGTTATAGATAGATAGATAGATAGATAGATAGATAGATAGATAGATAGATAGATAGATAGATAGATAGATAGATAGATAGATAGATAGATAGTTATAGATAGATAGTTATAGATAGATAGATAGATAGATAGATAGATAGATAGATATAGAGAGAGAGATAGAGAGATTTGTATCTAAACAAAACACAAGTCTAACACCAAGCGTTTAAATCAGCACTGGTAGCAATATTTTATACTTCATGCTATCTGCACAAACTATAGCATATGAAAAGCTGAGAGTCCACAGATTCTATTGGTATAAGTTGCATCCCTGTGCGATCAAAACTCACTGTTCTACATGATAAATAAAAGAACATTGTACCTTGAAAATCAATAGCGGGTAAATTTGACGCGTTGGCGGTTTTAGGTATACAGCGACCTCTGGCGGTTCTAGTGTTAAAGCTGTAATGATTCTTCTTTCTTGTTTCTGACTATCTCGTAATCGTGAAATCAATCGTAGAATTAATGACAGTTCTGTCATGATTTTAGTTTTTGTGTTTAGTTTCCTGTTTTATTTTGACATTTATTTTCTCCTTGTGGCTTTTTCGTAATTAAAAGGCTCGCTTTCTGTTAAATCTACTGCCATTTCATTTTTTTAACCCATCCTGCCAAACCCTGACAGTTTCATCCTTGTTTCAACACAAAAAAAGCACTCAAAAGATGCTAAAATGGCAGCAACTTTGTTATGTTGCCCCTAGTAACTAACAATAAATCAACCGTATGCATTTTAATAGCAGATATACCCTAAAACTGACAGATAACCAATATAATATAAAACACTGTCTCAGTTATCTATACTCACCCTACTTCCTAATGAAAGTGGCTCTATTTATCCACGTTACGATTAGGAATGTTGGCAACCAAAAGTAGGAGTTTGTTGTTTTGCCGTTTAAGTCTCTAACTTGTTACATCCGGACTTTTTATTCCCTGTGGGTATTTCTGTAAAAAAAGGTCTATAAGTTATAATGTTATAATAAAAGTATCACCCCTGCTGAGGGAGAGAGACACCGAGAGAGTGTGAGCAGTATTTACAGCTCCTGTGTGAAGGCAGAGACACACACGCACACAACACACACACACACACACACACACACACACACACACACACACACACACACACACACACACACACACACACACACACACACACACACACACACACACACACACACACACACACACACACACACACACACACACACACACACACACACACACACAACACACACACACACACACACAACACACACACACACACACACACACACACACACACACACACACACACACACACACACACACACAACATCTGAGAGAAGGTGCAAGAAAGTCCACAAATTAATGATTGTGAATCTGTGTGAATGTTTACAGTCGTCCCTCTGTGTGTGTGTGTGTGTGTGTGTGTGTGTGTGTGTGTGTGTGTGTGTGTGTGTGTGTGTGTGTGTGTGTGTCCGTACGTCCTCACTTCTCCTTTATTTGTCCCGAGCGTTTTACTGTAATGGAATCGATCACAAATCAATAAAGCTATTATCTAAACATACCTCACGCCTCATTAATATTCAGCCTGCCTCACTCAGCAAACTGTGTGTGTGTGTGTGTGTGTGTGTGTGTGTGTGTGTTGTGTGTGTGTGTGTATGTGTATGTGTATGTGTATGTGTATGTGTATGTGTATGTGTATGTGTGTGTCTGTGTGTGTGTGTGTGTGTGTGTGTGTGTGTGTGGTGTGTGTGTGTGTGGTGTGTGTGTGTGGTGTGTGTGTGTGTGTGTGCGTGTGATGGTTGACGCAGCAAATTTTGACACACTTTGAAAGGATTAGATTTTCGTTTTCAGAAATAAATGAATTTTTCAAATTCTTACGACACGACAGGAAACATTTTATAGACGAAGGAATAAGTGAATAAATTAATTAAAATAATATAATACAAATTTAATAATAAAATCCAGAAATGTTTGAGGCGTTATAATATTTTAAATATTAAAATAATAAAGCCTTTTTATGGCTTCTAAGGGAGGTTTAAGGGATCACCAGAGTGATTAGAGAATTCATCCCGAGGGTAACATGAATATTTGAAAATAATTCAAGGCAATCTTTTCAGTAGATATTTCACTCTGCAGCAGAGGAACGACAGACAGCCCATAATATAGTAAATAATGCAGTTTAATTTGTAAAACTGTTAGAAAGTGAAACATCTCACACTCTTTCACACTCCTGGAATAAAAAGAGGATGAGATGTACACGAGGTGAGGCTCTGCGGTGATTAGCAGGTTATTTAACACACACATTAAGCAAATTGAGGTTTCATTACACACGATAAAGACTATGCAGAAAGTGTCGTTAGAATATTTTAGGTTTTAGATCTCTCTTCACTTAAACTTGCTTTATTTCTTTTAAAATAATACTTGATGAACATTTATTAAACGGAGAATTACAACCAAGATGTTCATTTTAAAAGTGTAAATCAGTGTATGAATTTATTAGACACATCCAATTAGACACAAACTATTAATTAATGTGTACAAATCCTGACAATATTCACTTGAATTTGCTTCTGAACTTGAACAACAAAACAAAGATAACAAATTCAGCAAAAGCTTTGCTAGCCAAAAATCCAAAATCAACTAAAAAAGATGCGTCGAATGTCAATTAATATACTTCACTTTTTGCATAGAATTTGCTCCTGAATTTGCATTACTGTTTAAAAAAGAATCCAACTGCAAGTATCCCAGTATCTGTGTATCAAACAGGTTCAGCTCCACCTTGATTTGAACTGTTTTCACTTCATTACAGCCTGTTCAAACACACACATGGCCGTACAGTACTGTGTGTGTGTGTGTGTGTGTGTGTGTGTTGTGTGTTGTGTGTGTTGTGGTGTGTGTGTGTGTGTGTGTGTGTGTGTGTGTGTGTGTGTGTGTGTGTGTGTGTGTGTGTGTGTGTGTGTGTGTGTGTGTGTGTGTGTGTGTGTGTGTGTGTGCTCACGTGGAGAAGGCGTTGTTCTGCCTCTCACAGCGGATGCCTTTGCAGTTGTTCGGCTCCTCGGAGGCCTTCGTCTCGTAGTAGAAGTACAGCTGGTTCAGACCGTTTGCAAACGCCAGCAGCACCTGCACAGGAAACACAGTGTATAAGTACACACATCCTTTACTCAAGTAGAAGTACAGGTACTCGTGTTTAAAGATACTCTGGTGAAAGTAGAAGTACTGACTAAGCTTCTTTACTCAAGTAAAAGTAAAGAAGGCTTTGAAATGTACAGGTATTTGAGTTCAACATGTAAGAAGTAGAAAGTACAGGTATTTGTGTTCAACATGTAAGAAGTAGAAAGTACAGGTATTTGTGTTCAACATGTAAGAAGTAGAAAGTACAGGTATTTGTGTTCAAAATGTAAGAAGTAGAAAGTACAGGTATTGTGTTCAACATGTAAGAAGTAGAAAGTACAGGTATTTGTGTTCAACATGTAAGAAGTAGAAAGTACAGGTATTTGTGTTCAAAATGTAAGAAGTAGAAAGTACAGGTATTTGTGTTCAACATGTAAGAAGTAGAAAGTACAGGTATTTGTGTTCAACATGTAAGAAGTAGAAAGTACAGGTATTTGTGTTCAACATGTAAGAAGTAGAAAGTACAGGTATTTGTGTTCAACATGTAAGAAGTAGAAAGTACAGGTATTTGTGTTCAACATGTAAGAAGTAGAAAGTACAGGTATTAGGGTTCAAAATGTAAGAAGTAGAAAGTAAAAAGTCGTCAGAAAAATAAGTAGTGGAGTAAAGTACTGATACCAGAAACATGTACTTAAGTACAGTAACGAAGTATTTGTACTCCGGTACTTCCCACCGCAGTGTTTCCTCACATGACAACGTATCAAAGGGAATTAAACCTCTCTCCTCGTGGATCTGACGGTACATTTTGTTTCAGGATTGACCCTGAGCGGCTGCAGGCGTTTTGAAACACGTCTTTCTCCTCAAACACATCACGGTACGACAGCGTTACATAAAGAGCGGCTGCTGAGCGAGAGCGAGGCGCCTCGGGGCTCTCTGGGATTGATTCTAAGACTTCAGGGAGCGAGCGGTCCTCCTGTGGATCCGGAGAGGGTTAGCCCCCCGAGACAGAACTAATGAGATCTGGATGAAATGAAACAGGCCTGTAGTGTCCTTCCACCATCAATGGAGGATTCTCTCACTTTCTCTACCTTCAAACGTGCACTTTGAAAAAAGACGTGTAGTTGTAATAGAAAAGTATGGAATCATGCAAGTGGAGTCCCAGAGTTTGATACAGAAATTGTATGTGTCTTTTAGATTGCTTTTCCTGTCCAACACCTCAGCTGCTCCTAAAGTCAGGACTGAATTCAGGTTGAACTTAAAAAGAGAAATGCGTATATGTTGGCCTGCTAAAATGTTACCATGTAATACATTCACAATGCTAGATGACAATAGTGAAGGTCAGTATGCATGGATGCAAACATGCTGCATGGCTTTAATAGCTGCACCATACTTGACATTTCACATTTGCACATATTGTATTTTTCTCTTGTATACAATTTATTTGATGTATATGTAGACGAGGTAGGCTGTAGTAGGCTAGTAATGTAGTTGAAACGTACTAACTGTTAAAGGTTTAGCGTTAGCATGCTAATATGCTTGTAATTAGCCGGATTATCTACATTTAAGATGCCCTAAAGTAACACATTTGCAGGACAGACTTTAGATCATGGGGAAACATATCAGAGTATGTAGTTTGGGTTTCATGATGTTAACTCTAACCATTCAACACAGTCTCACGGCATTTCGTGTTATTGTCACGAAATTAATCTATTGATTCGTGTTCACCAACACGATTTTCCCATTTTTTCGTGTCACACAGAACGATTTTAAAAGCAATGTAAATAATAACAAATTAGAAGGAAAAAGAAATTAAAAAAAATACAGATGTCAGTATTCTGAGGCTCTGAGCCATTTCTTTTCCTCACTGACGGCAAAAAAACTCAGACATTATACAATTTAAAATAAAAGGGATAGGGTTAGGCTTAGGGTAAGATATTGAGTAAGAACATGTTTTTATGAACCACACAGCTTCTGGTCTTCCAAGACCCGACCGGACAAAAAGACGTGGTGCAGGCACGAAACATACTACCAATAGAAATACATTGCTTTTAAAGTCGTTCTGTGTGACACGAAAAAAATGCGAAAATCGTGTTGGTGAACACGAATCAATAGATTAAATTAATTTCGTGACTATAACACGAAATGGCGTGAGACTGGGTTGAACCATTAGCATGCTTCTCAGCTGGAAATGTGCACAACGAGAAAAGTCTTTGATGTCCTAAAATAGCCTCTGTGCAGGCTACACTATTATGGGAATTATTGGATATTTACATTTCTTCCACTAAAGAGGAAGAAATGTAAATATCCAATAATTCCCATTTAAAATGAGTTTTCTAGTGTTTTTTAATATCTTGCAAAAACTGAAATGAGCCTGATAAGATGAATCTGTGATGTCCTAAAGTGGCCTCTGTGCAGGCTAAACTTTGTATTTATGCTTCTTAATAATACATATAATGAATCTACAGGCTAGTATTGTGAATCAGCCAGTTCAGTTTATTTTGAAGTGGATATTAAAAATGAGAAAGGCAACGTAGGACTCAAATATAAACCATGTTCACTAACCACACTTATTCACAGTGTCATTTAGCCTCTGCATTTGGCATTTGAACCTATACTAGTATCAGAAGCAGTGTTTATATATATATATATATATATTTTAGTCGTACCAGGCAGTAGATGAAGAGGAACTTGAGGATGTCCAGCAGCATCCTCCCCAGGGAGATCTGCAGCGGGCCCAGGTGGGAGTTAGCGGTGAAGAGAGAGATGAGCCTCAGAGAGCTGAAGATGTTAGCGATGGCAAACAGAGCCTCGGCGATGAGGGTCGGGTGCCACATCTCCCACTCCTCCCTGGGCCGAGAGGAGTTATACTGCAGGGGGGAGAGGGGGGAGAGGGGGGAGAGGGGGGAGAAAGAGTTTATTACAAGTAAACACTCACGGAGAAACAGTCGGAAAAGTTTAAAGGTCCCGTATTATACTGTTTTTCATCAGCATCCCAGAATCCCCTCTGTTTCAGCCCTGTTTCCAAAGTGCTGATTCTCTGTCTGTTACTTTAGATGAAAATAAGGAGCCCCTCCCCACGCCCCTCTGAGAGAGATTTGGTTACAAAGAACTCAATGGTGCTCTAGGAGGAGATTCAGGTGATAAAGGTGGGGGGGGGGGGGGGGGGGGGGGTTACCTTGGTACCAGAGCCTTTTTGAAATCCACTGTAACTCTTTTAGTCTCGTCCTTTAAGTGACAGTGAGAAAAGCACTCTAAAATGAGAGTGCATATGTTTGTATTCTATTTACGAGTGAAATAAGAACATTTACCACGTGTTATCAAGCTCAGCATAAACACAGAAAAGGCCTTATAGAAGATACATAAGATGAAGTCTTTGTATTAAGGTTTTCGTAAACTAAATGCTAAATATCGGGGGGTTTATGCATATATCAAACGGTGATAAGACGTACCAGATATAATAACTAATCAACCAATCGCCAGATGCCTTTGCACACATCCTAACAGTAAGTTCTAGGAGTTGTAGGGGTAATGCACTCACTAACACTGATGTTCCTATCTCTAACCAACACGTTTTGACTGTAGAAATATCAAATCTGAGAAGGTGAGACAGATTTGATCGAGTCCTTGACACAGCAGGATAACTTCCCATAATCCTCTGAGTCTCCTGAAGCTCCACGCTGATCTTTAAAAAGTCAACACACTCTCCTCTCAATCCCTCCTGCTCACACGCCTTCCTCTCCTCTTCTGGCACCTCTACACACACATCACTCTCTCTTTTTTTTACTCCCAGCATCCTCTCTGTTTCTGTGACTCTCTTCACTTTGGTTTATTCATCTGTCTGTCTCACGCTCTGATTCCTCCTCATTCTCAATTCAGCCGTTGGACTTGTTAACTCTGCCGCTATTAGCATTCACACACACACACACACGGGCGCACGCATGCACGCACACACGCATGCACACTCACACGCTAATAAGCTGTTGGCTCAAAATATGTTTTCTTTTCTCCTTCAAATATTCAGCCACAATTAAAATCCTCTGGAGTGCTGATGGTCTCCTGCAAAATGTAACTGTGTGTGTGTGTGTGTGTGTGTGTGTGTGTGTGTGTGTGTGTGTGTGTGTGTGTCAGGATACAGTTGTGTGTATATGTATGTATATATATGTGTTTTTAAAGCTGTGTGTGTAGGAGGTCCAGCCACCACCATCAGTGACTCACAGCTGCTGCAGATGGCCCGGCCGTCTGGCGCGTGTGTGTGTGTGTGTGTGTGTGTATGTGTGTGTGTGTGTGTGTGTGTGTGTGTGTGTTGGCACCAAATTGCTCTTAATACATATATAGATCTTGTATCTATGCAGACTATCCTTTAATATTATCTGAGTTTGCATCAAAGTAAAACTGTTGTTTTAATTCTTCGTTCATAAGTAACTTTAGTTTGCCGTTTAAAAAGGGTCAAAGGTCAATGTCTGAAGTCAACTAACTGACAGTTTGCTCCTAAATTCAGCTCATATTTATGCTTTTCTACAATCTGCGTGCCTTACAGTATCATTCTGTATTGTTTCACAACAACAGTGGTGGATAAGGCATTAAAAAACCTGATTACAAAGAGTGTAATCTGTTAAATGTACTTTGAAGTAAAGTCAAAGTATTGATAGTGCAACACATGTTATTATATATGGTGTTTTTCTAATAATTTATTTTCTAATATACATATTTGGAGATGTTTTTTTGCATCCTTAACTAATATGTTTTGTATAATTTCTTTACATATAAATAAAATAATTATTACCCTTATAATATTTTGAGTTTAAAAAAAAAAAGTCAGACACATTTTAAGGTTTCTTTCAGGTTTTGTAAGAATTTCTTTCCAGCATTTCGTGGATTTTTGATCACATTTGACTTTTTTTAACAAAGAAATATTTACACATATTTAATGAATCACTCATTTCAAAAAGGAGGAGAATTGTCTCAACACTTCCTCTTTTTAGGACACTATATCCTGCAGGTACGTGTATTTCACTGCACAGTAGGGAAGAACTTATACAACATATTCAATTAACAGTTTAATATATTTACTTTGAAGTAGGCCACTATCTTCAGCGAGATGGTGGCGAGGTACAGAGAGTTCATGGCGAAGTCCATCAGGTTCCACCAGTCGTGGATATATTCTGTGAAGCCTCCGTCCCACATCTCCTTAATCTCCGCCCAGATGAAGCCTGCAACACACACACATTATTATTATTATTATACACACACCACACACACCCACACACCACACACACACACACACACACACACACACACACACACACACACACACACACACACACACACACACACACACACACACACACACACACCACACACACACACACACACACACACACACACACACACACACACACACACACACACACACACACACACACACACACACACACACGAGAAAATTGAAGTTGTTTCTGTTTGCTTTCTTCGTTCCAACTTTTGTCATTTTTTATGTTGTTGGGCAGCAGCTTCAGGCGTTTGTTCTGTCCCGCACTCAGGTTTTATTTTAAATAATTTACAAGTCATTCTTCATATCCTCCACATATCAAAATGTTTTTTTTGTATTCGAGTGTTTGAAAGACGACAAAGGAGAACAGATGGTTTTTAAAAATCACAGATGATTTGGAAATCTTCTGTATCATCTCAGAGAGAATATGGAGATGCAATCAGTCAGTTTAAACTCTTGTGTCTCCCTGGGCTATTTTATTTGGACAGAAAACATGTGATCACAAAAAAAAAAACACCTGTAGTTGCAACTCATTCCTGAAAAGATCAACTATGTATGGCTTGTCAATTGATGTACAATAGTAGAGACTAAACTGAACACTAGTAGCTTTGAACTGTTCAATCTAACCTATCAATGTACCAAATGTATTTTCTATGATTCTGATTCTGATAAATACTCACCAACCACCCAGGGGAGGATCATCCACTCCACGAGGGTGGGGGGGGGTCCCTGCATGTGGAGGTTTGTCCGGGCGATGTGCTGCGAGGCGAGCAGCAACAGGAAGAGGAACGTCAGGTACGACGCTGTGTGGCAGATGAACTTTATGAAGGGTTTCTTTATGAAGCGACCCAGAGCGCTTTTAGGAGCCAACAAGTAGATCTGAGGAAAAGGAGAAGAGGAAGACAATGGTTTTATGAATGTTTTTTTGGTTATTAGCCTGAACTAAAGGTCTGTGGTTAACTCAAGCAGAAGAGATTTTAGTTGTATGATATTAAATATGTCAGTAAATACCCCACTGGTGAATTTGAAAACGTTGGTTGCTAACAGGTGTCTAAATGAGACGATTAAACTTCATCACAGCCATCATTAGCCGCCTTTAGCTTAGCGGTGGTTACGTGAAGTCATGTGACCGTGCTGTATTCCTTTATAGCCCAACATTAGCCACCTTTAGCCTGGCGGTGGTTACGTGAAGTCATGTGACCGTGCTGTATTCCTTTATAGCCCAACATTAGCCACCTTTAGCCTGGCGGTGGTTACGTGAAGTCATGTGACCGTGCTGTAGTTCCTTTATAGCCCAACATTAGCCACCTTTAGCCTGGCGGTGGTTACGTGAAGTCATGTGACCGTGCTGTAGTTCCTTTATAGCCCAACATTAGCCACCTTTAGCCTGGCGGTGGTTACGTGAAGTCATGTGACCGTGCTGTATTCCTTTATAGCCCAACATTAGCCACCTTTAGCTTAGCGGTGGTGACGTGAAGTCATGTGACCGTGCTGTATTCCTTTATAGCCCAACATTAGCCACCTTTAGCTTAGCGGTGGTGACGTGAAGTCATGTGACCGTGCTGTAGTTCCTTTATAGACCAACATTAGCCACATTTAGCTTAGCGGTGGTGACGTGAAGTCATGTGACCGTGCTGTATTCCTTTATAGCCCAACATTAGCCGCCTTTAGCTTAGCGGTGGTGACGTGAAGTCATGTGACCGTGCTGTAGTTCCTTTATAGCCCAACATTAGCCGCCTTTAGCTTAGCGGTGGTGGCGTGAAGTCATGTGACCGTGCTGAAGTTCCTTTATAGCCCAACATTAGCCGCCTTTAGCTTAGCGGTGGTGGCGTGAAGTCATGTGACCGTGCTGAAGTTCCTTTATAGCCCAACATAAGCCGCCTTTAGCTTAGCGGTGGTGACGTGAAGTCATGTGACCGTGCTGAAGTTCCTTTATAGCCCAACATTAGCCGCCTTTAGCTTAGCGGTGGTGACGTGAAGTCATGTGACCGTGCTGAAGTTCCTTTATAGCCCAACATTAGCCGCCTTTAGCTTAGCGGTGGTGACGTGAAGTCATGTGACCGTGCTGTATTCCTTTATAGCCCAACATTAGCCGCCTTTAGCTTAGCGGTGGTGACGTGAAGTCATGTGACCGTGCTGTAGTTCCTTTATAGCCCAACATTAGCCACCTTTAGCTTAGCGGTGGAGACGTGAAGTCATGTGACCGTGCTGTAGTTCCTTTATAGCCCAACATTAGCCGCCTTTAGCTTAGCGGTGACCGTGCTGTAGTTCCTTTTCTTGTAACTTCTTTAACCTTGTGTCTGAAATATGGTACACGTTTGATGGATATTGTTGGAAGCTCTTGTTGTTATTGTCGTTGTTGTTATTGCTGTGTTCCGCTCATCTTCTCTCTGCTGGCAGCCTCAACACTGTGAGTCATGCCAGAGAGGCTTTAAACGAGATTGAATAACACAGAGAAATGTGTTTTTATTATAAAAACATTAATAACTTAATCACATTAAGGCAGTACTCGTGTTATTGGATGTAAACACTTAAAGTGAATTATCTTACAGAGATAAAAGCATTAAGTCAAGTAAGAGGTGACTGCTGTGACTTGTCATGTGCTCTCTTTAGTCTGCATGGTGTTTTGAGTCCTTGAACGCACCACAAAGGACGTGGATCTTAAAATAAACTCTATAAATTCCACCTTCCTCTCTCCTTTCCTACTTTACACTCTCACTTCCTCTCTCCTTTCCTAATTTATCCTCCTCTCCTCCCTCCTTCCCGTTTCACTCTCACTTCCTTCCTCCTTCTTCTTCCTTCCTCTCCAGCTTTACACTCTCACTTCCTCTGTCTTCCCTCCCTTCTTCTCTCCTTTCCTACTCCAAACTCACCCTTCCTTCCTCCTTCTTCCCTACATTACACTCCAACTCCCTCCTTCCTTTCCCTCCCTCCCTCCCTCCTCCTCCTCCTCCTCACCAGAGAGAAGAAAGGGAACAGCAGTCCGATGATGAAGCAGGTGACCAGCTTGACGGCCCAGTGTCTCCTCCTCCAGCCGGGGAACCCGTCGTACCAGAGCGTCGCCAGGAGCTGCTGGCAGTTCGGCTGCGCCACAAACTGCGGGAAGAGAGAGAGAGAGAGGACACACACTTTAGTCTCCTTTTAGGGAATACAGAAGGGACACACTGAAGGGCTTTATGGTCTATGCTAGGGGTGTCCAAACTACGGCCTGGGGTCCAAATTCGGCCCATTTTGAATCGGCCCTCAGCAAACTCAAAAAGTATAAAGAAATATGGCCCAGAAATGAGTCTTGTGATATTGTACTTCTTAAACATAGTAGGTAGTATTCATGTATTAATACGCCCACTTTTCAAATGCAGTCTGTCAATAAAAGTAGAAAACATTTTCTAACAAATCTAAGTTGATAAGAAAAAAGTCCAATAACTTATTTACATAACCAGCTTGAAATAAACCCGTCATACTGTATTTCCTCTCATTATAATCAATCTGAAGCTTCAGTTTTAAAAAATGAAATGAATGAAACCCTCTGGAGAGCTGTGATGTGCTGCAGCTCGTCGTAGATCTTTCTGTATGTGGCCCCCTGGACTATGCACAGCTACAGTTGAGTCGTGCAATGAACATCTTAACCCTCCAACAAAGCAACATAGATATATTCAAGACATTAAAGGGGACCTATCATGCAAAATGCACTTGTGTACGTCTTGTATACATGAATATGTGTCCCCGGTGTTCCAGGGAACTCACCAAGTGTCAGAAAACACAACCCTCTCTATTTTCCTCCATACCCAAATCTCTAAAAAAGGGGCTGCAACGGATCTGATAAAAACTGATCCAGATTTGAACACTGTCCTGACGTCAGGACGGTGGCGCTACGGCTATTGGGCCATCTCCACCAATCAGGAGGAGACAGCCACGGCCATTGCCGTTCCAAAGCGCTGGAGACGCTGTAGTACATATGCCAGGCCTGTAGGTGGCGCTGTTCTCACTGAATCAGCCCTTGCTAAAACAGAGCTAAAAAATGTCAAATTGAGCGAAATGAGGCATGGCTAAAATGCATGATCTGTTTGGTATTTTGAAAAAAAAAAAGTATAAATATGCCTTATATAGGTATGGCCCTACACTATATTATTATAATATAGCATGATAGGTCCACTTTAAACAAAACACATGAAACCTGCAAATGAAAGTCTTCAGAATGACACAATTTGTTTGTTTTCACTTGTTTACCTTATGCATATTATATAAATTGATCTTGTTTAGCAATTCAAAAGAGTCCTCTGATATCATGTGAGTGATAAGGGGCTGTAAGCCTTCAAATATTGCCTTTTATTCATATAACTAGTTTAAGCACAAAATATGTGGCACAATTGTTTTGGTTCTTTGTCTTTTCCCTTGAATATGGCATTTTTGTCTTATTTAATACCTTAGACCATCACTTTAAATGATCACTAAAACACACAACGAATAAAAAAAAGCTCTTTTTCATGATATTTGCTCCTGAATAAAAGAAGTAGAAGGTGGCATAACATAGAAATACTCAAATAAGGACAGTGCTAGAGTAAATGACTTTCCACCACTGACTTGAGCGTGTGTGTGTGTGTGTGTGTGTCTGTGTGTGTGTGTGTGTGTGTGTGTGTGTGTGTGTGTGTGTCTGTGTGTGTGTGTGTGTATACTATACTTATGGGGACCTAAATCTGTTTACACAGTCACGTGTGGGGACTCGCTTCCCTTATGGGGACAAAATGGAGGTCCCCATAAGGGGAATCCTTAATTTTAGGGTGAAGACTTGGTTAGGGTTAGGGTTAGGATAAGTCTCCAGGAAATGCATGTAAGTCAATGTAATGTCCCCTGAAGTGATGTATACATGGTGTGTGTGTGTGTGTGTGTGTGTGTGTGTGTGTGTGTGTGTGTGTGTGTGTGTGTGTGTGTGCATAAGTATCTGAAAAAACTGCACATTTGCACCTATTTATTTGAAGAAAATCAACAGTCAAGGAGGCAGGAACCATGCTGTGATATTGGGTTTTTTATTTCTGCTTATTTTTCTGTATTTTACCAAGTTGTATTCTGTGTGTGTGTGTGTGTGTGTGTGTGTGTGTGTGTGTGTGTGTATGTGTGTGTGTGTGTGTGTGTGTGTGTGTGTTCCTGTTATAAACGAGTGAGATAAACATCCAGCAGCTGAACATGTCTCTGAGAGCTGGAGGAGGCTCTGAGGTCTGCAGCTGTCAATCAAACGCTGCTGAAAGTGAACATTTGGCAGCGGCTGCACATTTCAACACTTCCTTGTTTTCCGTGCAGAGTGTTGCGTTAATAATTGATCCTGGCACGTCTAATTCAGACAGAACATGACGGATATGTCTCTAACTCTGCTCTGATAGAGTCATTACCACTACGTATTTTCCTGACGACTTTTTACTTTGACTTCTTACCTTCTGAACACAAATACCTGTACTTTCTACTTCTTACATTTTGAACACAAATACCTGTACTTTCTACTTCTTACATTCTGAACACAAATACCTGTACTTTCTACTTCTTACATGTTGAACACAAATACCTGTACTTTCTACTTCTTACATGTTGAACACAAATACCTGTACTTTCTACTTCTCACATGTTGAACACAAATACCTGTACTTTCTACTTCTTACATTCTGAACACAAATACCTGTACTTTCTACTTCTTACATGTTGAACCCAAATACCTGTACTTTCTACTTCTTACATGTTGAACCCAAATACCTGTACTTTCTACTTCTTACATGTTGAACCCAAATACCTGTACTTTCTACTTCTTACATTTTGAACAAAAATACCTGTACTTTCTACTTCTTACATGTTGAACCCAAATACCTGTACTTTCTACTTCTTACATGTTGAACACAAATACCTGTACTTTCTACTTCTTACATTTTGAACAAAAATACCTGTACTTTCTACTTCTTACATGTTGAACACAAATACCTGTACTTTCTACTTCTTACATGTTGAACACAAATACCTGTACTTTCTACTTCTTACATGTTGAACTCAAATACCTGTACTTTCTACTTCTCACATTCTGAACACAAATACCTGTACTTTCTACTTCTTACATGTTGAACACAAATACCTGTACTTTCTACTTCTTACATGTTGAACACAAATACCTGTACTTTCTACTTCTTACATTCTGAACACAAATACCTGTACTTTCTACTTCTTACATGTTGAACACAAATACCTGTACTTTCTACTTCTTACATGTTGAACCCAAATACCTGTACTTTCTACTTCTTACATGTTGAACCCAAATACCTGTACTTTCTACTTCTTACATGTTGAACACAAATACCTGTACTTTCTACTTCTTACATGTTGAACACAAATACCTGTACTTTCTACTTCTTACATGTTGAACACAAATACCTGTACTTTCTACTTCTTACATGTTGAACACAAATACCTGTACTTTCTACTTCTTACATGTTGAACCCAAATACCTGTACTTTCTACTTCTTACATGTTTGAACACAAATACCTGTACTTTCTACTTCTTACATGTTGAACCCAAATACCTGTACTTTCTACTTCTTACATGTTGAACCCAAATACCTGTACTTTCTACTTCTTACATTTTGAACAAAAATACCTGTACTTTCTACTTCTTACATGTTGAACCCAAATACCTGTACTTTCTACTTCTTACATGTTGAACCCAAATACCTGTACTTTCTACTTCTTACATGTTGAACACAAATACCTGTACTTTCTACTTCTTACATGTTGAACACAAATACCTGTACTTTCTACTTCTCACATGTTGAACCCAAATACCTGTACTTTCTACTTCTCACATGTTGAACACAAATACCTGTACTTTCTACTTCTCACATGTTGAACCCAAATACCTGTACTTTCTACTTCTTACATGTTGAACACAAATACCTGTACTTTCTACTTCTTACATGTTGAACACAAATACCTGTACTTTCTACTTCTTACATGTTGAACACAAATACCTGTACTTTCTACTTCTTACATGTTGAACCCAAATACCTGTACTTTCTACTTCTTACATGTTGAACACAAATACCTGTACTTTCTACTTCTTACATGTTGAACCCAAATACCTGTACTTTCTACTTCTTACATGTTGAACCCAAATACCTGTACTTTCTACTTCTTACATTTTGAACAAAAATACCTGTACTTTCTACTTCTTACATGTTGAACCCAAATACCTGTACTTTCTACTTCTTACATGTTGAACCCAAATACCTGTACTTTCTACTTCTTACATGTTGAACACAAATACCTGTACTTTCTACTTCTTACATGTTGAACACAAATACCTGTACTTTCTACTTCTCACATGTTGAACCCAAATACCTGTACTTTCTACTTCTCACATGTTGAACACAAATACCTGTACTTTCTACTTCTTACATGTTGAACCCAAATACCTGTACTTTCTACTTCTCACATGTTGAACCCAAATACCTGTACTTTCTACTTCTTACATGTTGAACCCAAATACCTGTACTTTCTACTTCTTACATGTTGAACCCAAATACCTGTACTTTCTACTTCTCTCATTTTCCAAACAGGCTGGTTCCTTTAGTTTGAATGTGTGTTTGGTGGCGTGATCATTATTATTTAGAGTCATTGCGTGCCTATTGATTTGAACACGATCCGTGTATCCATCATTTCCTGGTCTTCTCTAAAGAAGAGGGACCAATGAAAACGTTGTCATGTTGCCGTTGTTCAGCATGGAAACATTCATTAGCTAACAATGACATTATTGTTCTATTAATATAAAGGGAGGTCAGGTACTCTTTAAAACAGCTGCTAGTTATGGGTACTTTTTACTTGAGTACATTTCAAAGCCCTCTTTACTTTCACTTGAGTAAAGAAGCTTTGTCAGTACTTCTACTTTCACCAGAGTATTTTTAAACACGAGTATCTGTACTTCTACTTGAGTAAAGGATCTGTGTACTTTTGCCAGTATGGTTAGGGTTAGCAAAGGGACGAGAATACAAGTTAATAATAAGATAATAATGAGATAAGAAGTACTTAATTGATCCTAATTTGGTTGCAGCAGCATAAAAAGACAA